ATGTGATACGGTCAAATCCCTATCCTGGAAGCTCTTAAAGATGAAGGAATTTTTTTTTTTTTTTCTGTGTCACTCACTATGCCTATCAAAGTGTTTTTTTTTTTGTTTTGTTTTGTTTTGTCTTGTTTTTTTTTAAGAGAGATTTTTGCTATAGGATGCGTGCACTCACTGGAGAGAGAAAGACAGAGAGACAGAAAGCAAGAAGTCATTCTCCAGGGAGGAATGGCTATGCTTCAATCCCTTCCCCTCCATCTTCTGTCAGAACTGTGGGCATGCCCATGCACCCAGCATGATTTTCAAACCACTGGGTCCAGGACTCAAACCACAGTTGGCCATGTGAGAGTCCAGCAATGTAACCATTATGTAACAAGCATCTGCTGGTCCCCAAAGCGTCTTTTTAAACTGTAGATGTATAGTTCATAGTTCCTTGAAGTCTACCACTAGTACAATCTCTACTGCATTGTGATATACAGACAAAAATTAGGGGATTTTCTCATGTGCTATGACTAGTGTATTCTAAGAACTGTGTCGATAATCAAAATAACATTGATATCACAATTCATATTGTGATTTTGGATTTTTTTCAATGGCTTTGAAATTTATTCATCGTTTTATTATCCCCGCAACTCTGAGAAGTAGATAGGGCAGAAAAACAGGAGGCCCAAGAAGACTTTTCAACTTCAGAGTTGGTGATATGCCTAAGGCTTTGGAATTACATCGTCATTTCACTGTGTTTCTGCACCTTAGGAGGCTACAAGGTTATGATAATGTGCTGCCATCTTAAATTTTTGCTGTTTCTTCCCTACAGTCCAATAGTGCCACTTCTTAGGACCTCTGGGCCTACATAAACCAATCAACAGATTTGGTCTCCATGGTTCCAGGACTGGATACTACATTTGGGCAGAAAAGAAGTCATCACCATTTACTGCTGGTGATTTGAGAGTTCCATCAATTCTGGCTGATCACGCATGTAAATTTGGGGAGGCCTTCAGAAAAATGTAAAAAGCTATTTACTCTTAATTAATAGATTATCTAGGTTTTGGGGGGTAGCATTTATACCTCTGAAGAGAGAAGGCGGTGGAATCATGAAGAGGTATTTCCTTTTCTCTCTCACTGCTTTAAATTTCACTTGCCCGTTTGTTTTCACACACATGCAAGAACTGGTCACCCTTAGCAGCTAATGTTTCAATAAGCTAAGCAACCAATATTCAAGAAAAAATAGCTTTAAACACAGTGGTACATGTGGGTGGCTTATAGATCCAGTTAGGTCTCACACTATTTATCCCACACTGTTTCAAAATTTATTTTTCTAAATATTTAAAAATTTTAAACTTTATCTAAATGTCTGTTTTTCCAGGTTCTTTTTTTTTTTTTTTTGGTTTTTGCTATAGGGCACGTGTACTCGCCAGAAAGACAGAAAGAGACAGAGAGATAAAAAGTGAGAAATCACCCCCCAGGGGGATGGCTATGCCGCAATCCCTTCTCCTCCATTCTCCTCTTGGGATCTTGGGCACGCATGCACATGTGCCTGGTGTGAGTTTAAGTCACCGGGTCCTGGACTCGAACTGTGATCAGCTACATGGGAGTTCAGCGATATAGCCATTATGCTAACTGCTGGTCCCTGTTTTTTCAGGTTCTTTAAAAACAAAAAAAAAAATCTAAGTGACTTGGCTAAGCCATTTTAAAGGTTTGTAAGAGCTGAGGGCAGTTCTGAAGTATCCAGTGGTCCCACTTAAAACATATTATTGCCACCCAGGATCTCCTTTTGCCATAGTTCTTATCACTCCCATGTAGCATTGTGACAGGGGGTGTTTTCAAAAAGTTCAAGGAAACTGCATATTATGACAATGCTATGTGAGGGGCTGGCAGGTGGCTTGGTAGTTAAGGGTGCTGGACTCCAACATAGCTGACCATGGTTTGAGTCCTGAACCTGGTGGCTTGCTTTCTCACTTTCCCTCTCTCTCTTACTCTGTCCCTCTCTGGTCAAATTAGCATAAATAAATAAAGTTAAATAAAATCATTAATAAAAAAGAAAAAAAAGAAAATGCTATGTATAAGTTTCAACTCTATGGGAAAATAGAATTATAGTACAAAAAAATTTGTATATATATTTTAAAGACATATTTAATTTTATTTCTTCTTCTTATTTTTTAATTTGACCATATAGAAACAGAGAGAGAAAGAAAGGGAAAGTGAGAAAGCAAGCTGCCAGGTCTAGGACTCGAACTGTAGTTGGCTAGTTGGAAGTCTAGTGCCTTAACTACCACACTACCTATTGGCCCAGCTCATGTATATATTTGAATATGTAATACTGTCGATATTTAAAGTTAACTGGAGCATTTTTTCAATTTCAGTTCATTCATTCATCCAAATACCTCATCATCTATTCAACTTACAGGAACACCTCCTGTGTTCTGGGCACTGAGACTATGGAGAAGGGAATGGTGAAGTCTTTCATTTTCTAGAGTTTATAGCATATGAGAGCTCAGACAAGTAAACAGGTAATTGCAAAACACCGTCTGGTACACACCATGAAAGTATGATAGGCCACAAATTGGGCAATGGCAAATTCTCTGAGAAATGAGATGGGCAATAAGGACATAATTGAAGAAGTAATTAAACTGACATATTCTTGTTATTTGGAGTAATTTTTAGCCTTCTAGGCGGACAAGCAAAGAGGAACATTCTAAAAATAGAGATGTTTGCGTAAAAGCTTTAAAGCACGAAGGAAGACCACGGCTCTTTGGTGGATGCAACATTCTGGAGTCTCTTGGAACTTGACCATTCTAAAACCATACTGGTTGGGTTGGGCCCAGGTTCTTCTGTTTCTTCCAAGAACAGGTATACCTACATCTGAAATTAGTCTTTCTCATATTTTTTGCCTAACCACAATTGTCATTTTTCTCCACCTGAGGTTTGGCTTTTCCTTTCAAGTCCTCTGTACGATACCGAAGACAGATAATGAGAATGGGAGCCGCCAGGCCAGGGCTCTTAGTGACAGAGGGTAAAGACAGGATTTTCTTTTCTTCTTTACTGTCAGTGCATGGTGGTTTGGGAAGGGCACCTGTTATGTGAGCATCTATGACATCTACATACTACCATCATCAGTTAAGAATAGAGGGAATAAATCTATGTCTGACAGTGGTAGGTTTATAGAATGAATGATGAGACCTGGCCAAATCATATCAACATGAGTTCTGAACTATTGTTTTTTTTGTTTTGTTTTGTTTTGTTTTGTTTTTCTGTTCCAGGAATTCTCAGCATTCCACAATTAATTTCAAAAAAATCATGCCATGACAAAAAATTATCTAGCTATTTCTAACATTAGTCAGGCATAATGGGCTAATGTTAAATCTAGTAAATAATAGACAGTGTTCATCACCGGAACTCGAGCTCCCTTAATGATCCTAAGTCAGTGTTCACAGTTTCACAATTTTATTCTTCCAGGAATTTAGTATAAAGCAAACTCTTCTGATTACTATCAATATTGGTCAGTGTACTATGTAAAGTTTAGGCGTTGTTACTTTACATTCCAAAGGAAAATAATTGCATCATTTCAATTTCTAACATTACTTTTTAAATTTCTAAAAGTCTAAATCAAAGTCTTTTCATCATGAGGTAGAGATGGGATATAGAAGGAACCCAAAGAACAGTGTCATAAAGACAGCGGTAATCTGCTACACTGTTACTGAGTACTTGTTGATTATTTTAATATTAATTTTACAATAGTGACATAAATAGTAAGCTAATGACTGTGGAATAATTTCATTATGAAAACAGAACATATAAATTAAATAAATGAGAAATCGTAGGTAGAAATAATCTATTTTAAAATTTTAAAACATTGTTCAGCTATTAGCTATTCAGTTGCCCTACTTAGCGAACATTTACTGATGTGTGAAGTTTTTTTTTTTAATATTTACTACTGTGGAGATAAAGCTTGTTGTTTGCAGAATGTTAATTTATTTGCTAATACTCTCTATCCTCTTTGCCATCACCGTTTATCTATAGCATGCTTCTTCTGAAACACACTGAGACCATATGTACCTTCCCCCCACCTTTAAAACATTTGCTTTTGCTGGCAAAATAAATGCAAGTTGTCTTACTAGATTTAGAGTCTGTCCTTGTCCAATTAATTTCCACACTTTGACGATACTATAATGCAACCTGGCTTTAAAACATCTAACCTAGAAACTGGCCTTCAAAGTGGCCCAGCTGTGATCAGCTCAGAAAGGAGCACAGAAGTTTCCCTTTGAAAAAAAGCTCTTTATGTACTAAAACTGCTGCAGCGACATGACTTCACGAGAAGCACAGGCAGAATATGACCGCATTCAATTTGCATGCAGGTGGCGAATCTCTGAAGTGGTATTAAGGGATGAACCAGGGTGGATTAATTTCCAGTCTTTGATATTCATTAACTCCAGCTTCAGAAAAAAAATACAAGGAGATGACACAATTACCCTTAGAGCTTCACCCGCGAGCAGCAGCTTTACGATCTCAAGTTCATAATGCCACACTAATTGATCAAGAAGGGGCACATAGCTTTAGTAAGAGGTGCAAACGTATACGGGCTTCACTACAGCAATGATGGTGCTTGATTTGGGGATAGTCAACTCCACTGTGAAAACCCTTAGAGAAAGAGTTACTATTTATTCTCTATGCCACATGGCAACACCTAGCCCTCCTTAGTTCCAGTAATTCTCTGATAAGCAAAACCTAATTTTGGCCTCATGTAATGGTGGACAAAATTCAATGTCCGTTTCATGTGACACAACTAGTTTTCAGATTCATCACTGTATTTCTATTTAAAGATAGACCTTTATGAAGCACTTCAGAAAGAGGAAAATGGATTAATTCAAAAGAAAAACAGGACACAGCAAGCTGATTCAAATCCCTTCAGGAAGAAGATGGAAAGAGGAAGAAGAAAAATAAAAAACGAGGAAGATGAATCTGCTTGCAGTGTCTTAGAAATAGCAAGGTCCAGCTTGGCATTTATTTACCTCTGGAGCCTCAAAGACTTCAGGGTCCTTATGTAAGGCTGCTGGAAAGATGATCACCGCGTCTCCCTTTCGTACACAATAGGCCCCAGACTCTGAATTGATGGTCAAATTCTCCTCAACAAAACGGAAGGAGCACGAAGATGAGCACAGACGTAAAACCTCAAAAATACAGCTTTCTGCAGGAAAAAAGCAAACAAACAATAGCTTATTAAACAAACAAATGCTACTAAGAAGTGCTCTCAATTTGCCACTTAAGTTACTTATTCATAGCCTTGATTGGAAAGGAAACCATTTTTTCATCACAGCCATTGAGTACCAAGAAGGAGCCATTAGTGGCTTTGGAGACCAGGTGAGGAGGGAGGAGACCTGGTCCCCTCTCCAGCTTGAAGGCATCTCACAGGTAGGAGGAGGCAGCAGTGCTGAACTTGGGCAGAATGTCATTGACTGGAATTTTTCTAGGCGAGAATAGTCTGCAAGGGAGGAAGTCTGTGTTGTGAGTATTCATGTTGGAAAGTAAAACCATATCCCTGTTACAGTACACCTCTGGTGGGTGATTTTTTTACCAACCTCTGTAACAGTGATGCCTTTAAAGGTAGGTTTGGCCATTTAATAGCCATTTAGGCAGTTAATAGTACAGTAATTGTAGCAGTGCTTTCTGAGACAGCTTAACACTTAATTTCTTTTATGCTAGTTGTAAATAAAATGTGAGTCAGCATTTGCTGGAAAAATTTCAAAGGGAAAATACTCTTATAAGATTCAGAAGAAAGCCATGTTTTCCTCAGCACTCAGGGAAGATAACAGCCACCATCATATCCTGGAAGATTCCAGAAGCTGAATGTCCTTGCTTTCCCAATGGCCTTCACCTTTTGCTCCTAGCACGACAGATTTTATGGCTAATTTCCGGCAATTTATCCTGGCAGTTTGAGGAGGAATTCCTTTGGGAATAATATGCATAATTTGCATAAATCATTCTGATAGCATGCATATCAGCGTGTAGCTCCTGTCTAGGTCTGCATCTCTCCCTTCATAATCAAAACTGACTATGTTTCCACCAGCGTGAATGGGTCCTAGAATATAAAGCTTGATTCTTTCTAATCAGCAATGTGAAAAAGAGCTCCAAGTGGGTTTTTTTTTCCTTCCCCTTTCACATGATAACAAATGGCTGTGTTTATGACTTGCAATTTAGAAATCACGCACACACAGACACACACACACACACACACACACACACACGGTCCAGTTTCCTAGTGTTCAGCCTAGCTCTGAAACAGAGTATGCAATTATTAGATTATTAAAGGCAAGCCTATGAGTGAGGGCTTGCAACAGCCAAAAATAATAATAATAATAATAATAAATGGTATTTCTGGAAAACTTAAATCTATGCACGGCTTGTGTAGGGATATCAAGTAGCTCAGGGTGCCTTCTCCCAGGAGGCTTTTCCCTAAGCATGCATTTGTCTAAAGAAATGAAGCTGCGGTCAGCTCTGTGTGGCCACTGTGGTGATTCAATGTGACGTACAGTGAGGCTGTGCATATTCTCTTGGACTGCCTTCGTTATTATAATCAGGCAGAGTCAAATCGGTTTGTTGGTGATGAGGCCAGAAAAGAACTTTTGGTTTTGGAACATGCACTCTACTGCAGATAGCCACAAGGCACCTGACACGATGGATTTCAGCTGGCAGGACACCAACAACCAACATTTCTATGGTGCAAAGCAAGGGTCGGCTTCCCATGTACTGCTCCTGGCTCTGTTGGATCAACAAGAGCAGAGCATCATTTTAGCGTGTGGTGTGAAATGGTAGCTGACATATGTACGAGTGCTGTTCGCCCAACAAGTCCGGTAGGGGTGTGGGAAGAAGAGATACAAAAGCAAAATAATTGTGGGGTAGCTGCTGAGACAGGGCAGGCATTTAACAGTCCGAATGACATGGTCACATCCGATTGGCTGATGTGCTCTCGGGAAGCATGGCAGCTGGCGCCCACCACCGTATCACAAATGACAATTGGGCAAGCATATCTTATGCAGGAGTTAATCACAATAATGGAGCGCAAAGTGTGGCTTAGCGGTCAGATCGTAAGTGACAAATCAGTTTTACCTTCCAGTACCAGTTATGTGTGCAAGACGAGGTTGGCTCTTGCTCTGAGCGATCATGCCGATAATCATTAGATGACAAAAGTAATGAGTTGCGTTATTATCAACAATGGAGAGACGAGTTTACGTGGCTCTGCGCTGCACCATACAGACACAAAAGCCAGTAGCATTTCCACCAGGCCTTGTACAAAGGCAGGCAGAGCTATATGTTGAGAAGAATGACAACTGCACAATAAAAAAAAAAAAAATGCAGCTTCTACTTGTAGTTGTCATAGTTGAGCAGACACCAGCCAGTACCACTGACAGACCAGCTGGGCCCTGGGAGGACTTCCATGCTGCACCAGGAGAGACAGTAAATTATCCTGCACGGCAGAGCAACATCTGTTTCTGTGCTAGTGCCGAACAAACAAGGCAATTTAAAACATACCAAGGGATAACCAAGCAACAAATGAACATGACCCTCATTTTTTCCCCCTTCTCACACAGGAGGTGCTAAACTTCATTGTGCAAGCGCTCCATGAAAGAGAAGCCAGGTTTTATTTGATAAGGTGTTGTCAGAGAGATTTTACATACTTCCAAAATGGAAAGAAAAAGCTTATAGTATTGTTATTCTTAGCATCTTCCCCTTTCTATCTTCATTTCTTTTATACCAAAGCTAGCACTCAGTTCTCAATGTGCTCTAGAATTAAAAAAAAAAAAAACTTTCCATATACTTATAAATATTCAGTCTTTAAACCTAATTTGCTATACTTAGTTCACATGCCTTCAAGCATTTGTCTTCCAATTTCCACTGAATAAATGCGTACTAATGAGAACTAGAGCAAGCTGCTGAGGCAAAGCTGGGTGACTTGGGTCTGGCCTGCCACCAGCTTGTGATAGGCGGGCAAATTGAGTTAAAATGAAAAGTCTTGTCAGCTGAAATTCAACATGGTAGCCAAACAGCAAGCTGTCAATCATCCAGCCAAAACAAGGGACTGCAGGTAATAAAAGGTCATTGGGAATCATTAGTGCACTTGGCTTTCATATGGAAGTTAATTTTAATTAAACATGATCTGTATCTGTAGATGTTTTATAAAACTTATTGTGCATAATGGATCGTTAATTTATACTAACATTTCGCAGGTAATAGGACCCTCTAATTATTAGAATGCATTGGAGAAAAATGGTTATCGAGAATGCAAATATTTGGGGGATAAAATTTACACTAGGCACTGCAAGGTGCCAGCGATTGCATCTGTAATTAAGATGAGGCTGCCTGTGTCTGACTAAAAACCCAGGTTTACTGACCAGGGTACACTAGGATACTGGATTACAAATCCCTATAATGAACTCATGGTTCACAGTCTGCATGCACTACTTTCTTCACCTGGCTAGGGAGGACTTTTCTTTTCAGGATATAAAACTATTCTGATTAAGTATCCCTTTTAAGCAAAAGTTAAGGAATGCCTTGGGTTAAGAAGCTTTACAATGTAACTGTGAAGGAAAATGGCAAACGAAAGGAAATACTGTTTTTTTTTTTAAAAAAAAAACAAACAAAAAAAACAAACAAAAAAAAACAAGAAAGAGGCACGTATATCTTTTTTGCTCTCAGATCTCAATTCTGGCTGTACTAATTGACAGATGAGCCTCATTTGCAGATATAAAGCACCAAAGCAGCTCATGACAATCAATAATGGATGTTACAATGCAAACCCAAATAAGCACATCCGGGTTTCTGCTCACACTTAGGCCCTGCCTGGATATGTGGAATGAATGCACTGTGACATGGCCAGCCTGTTAATTTGGGTCATCTTAATGATTGGTGCAGGCTGGCATGCCATCCGATTAGCCATGGTGATCAGCAGGTTGGAGCAATGGCTGGAGTAAAATGAACAGCCAGGCGCTGCCGCAGTTGCTGGGGCTAAACATGTGGGCGTCTTAAAGAGAAGGTAGAGGAAAAGCAGTCGAGGGGGATGGATATGTAGGTGGTGGGCCCCAGATGGTGTGACGAAAGGAGGTTCAACGTATGTATGTGTATGTCTCTGCATAACTGCCTTCAAGGCAGGTGAGAAGGTTAATAGAAAATTATAATAATCATACAATTTGAAGCAGAATTACTAATCTTTGGCTCAACAACTGTAGATTGAAGTAAAGTTAAAAATAAATGTGAATTGATACAATGGCTAGCTTCATTCTGCATTGTAGACAGTCTTTGGTTTACTGTTGAAGTATAGAAATGCATATTCAATGTTCATACATTCAATAAACATTTTTTTTCTTTTTTAAGAGAGATTTTTGCTGTAAGGTGCGTGCACTCACCAGAGAGACAGAAAACAAGAAATCACTCCCCCACCCCCACCCCTGAGGGATGGCCATGCCACAATCCCTTCTCCTCCAGTCTCCTCTTGGGGTTTTGGGCATGCATTTACACATGTCCAGCAGAGTTTCAAACTGCTGGGTCTAGGAATTGAACCGAAGATTAGCCATGTGGGGAGTCCAGAGATGTAACCATTATACCATGTGCTGGTCCCCACTTAAAACAACTTTTATTAGGCTCCTCCTCTGCTCAGAGCACTGAGCCCCTGCTGCTGGTGGGAAAAGGAAACACAGAACATGGGTTTGAGCTGCAATGCCATCTAGGTAATTCAAAGTTGGAGGGTACATTCAAAAAGTACATGGAAAACCAGATTAAATATGTTGATTTTGGTGCAAAAAATTTTTGAGACCCATGCACAGATTTTTCATAATAAACATTTTCCATGAACTTTTCATAGACTCTTCGTATAAACAGGAATACTTCCAAGATCTTAACATATTGTGCAACTTCTTTTTTAAATTTTTAAATTAACAAATAAAAATTGTATATATTTATAGTATATACCATGATATTTTGAAATATGCTTACCATACAGGATGGCTAAATCATCTGATATATGCGTTCTCTCACCTACTTGTCAGTTATTTGTGGTGAGAACACTTACAATATACTCTTAGTAATTGGATATTGCATAGTTCTGATTGGATAACTCCAAATGATGACATTCAGAAAGCCCATTTTAGTAGAAAGCTATTTTTCATTTTGAGCAGAACTTTTCTTCCCTTTAAT